CTGAGAGCTGAGCACTAGATGTTCACCGTTCCAGCTGTTGGTCTCGACATCTTCTTTCGAGGAGATCTTGACGATGTGCTCAGCCGCTGACTCCTTCCAGCTCGCCACGATCCGTCTCAGTCCTCGAATTGTCATGCCCATAGAGAGATCCTCCCCGTCGCAGATCTGTTCAGCTTCCTCTCTGGTGAACCTTCCCTTCTGTGCTTTACTCTTGACCAGTACCTCATAGGTCACTCTTCGTGGTACTGCTCCTAGCGCGTCGGGCAAGAAGTCCAACCTAATTGGATGCTGTCTCGTTACCCTGGTGATTGCACTAACCTGAGTAGTGAACCATTTGAGGATTTTTTCATCTTCCGACATCAGTCCGAGGTGTATGCTTCCTCCATTCCTGTCGTCGCCCTCAAACATCCGTAGCGTGGTGCTCAGGACGTCCGTCGAAGAGCATCTCGCAATCCAATCGATCTCTCTTCCTTGTCGTATCTCGTCCACTCCGGCTGCTGCGAAAGTGCGTTTGTTGGGCTGACCTTGAGGTCTCCTCTTCGTCTTGACCTCTAGCTGCATGCCCGCTTCCGGCTGCACCTCCAACACAGCTATTCCTTGTTGCAGCAGGTGTTGACGATAGATCTCCGTAATCCCAGCTGAGTTCATGCCATTCATCTTGAGGAGGTGAGAGAACTCAGCTAGGGCCCCCGCCTTGCCAGAGTGCTTATCCTTCTGTGGCCTTATCTTGAAGGAACAAGGATGCTTCGAATGCGCGTTCACCGCGCGGATCATCTTTCCGTCGATCCTGAAGTTCGTCTGTCCTTTCCACAGCAGTTCTGCTGCGTCGTTCAATTGGAGTGTTGCCACGACTGGGATTTCATCCACTGTCGGAATCAAATCTTTCTTGATCGGGGCTCTCCACGAGATGCATTTCTTGCCCTGCTCCTCGTGCACCAAGAGTCCTTGATCCTTCAACTTCTCACACAGTACCTCAACTTGTTTTATGTACTGGGTAGGAACTCCGAGGATAGCCATGGTAATCAGTTTACCACTCTCGGGGGACGCTCCTGAAGCATCGATGCAGGCACTCTTGTCTAGTACCTCCTGTTTGTCTGCGTTCCATGCAGAGACATACCACGACTGTCCTTCTTCCCCCCATTCTTTGATGGCATCCTCCTGGCTCCTGACTTCAGCATGTTTGCAGGTCTGTCGAATGGCTTCGGCTAAGGCGTTCATCGAGACTTCCTTGGACTGCAAGGCTCTGCCTGTCCTGCTCTGAGGGTACTGCCTGACGAAGTGTTCCAATCTTCGGATCAGCTCTCCTAGCGAAGGTGCTGAAGGTGTCGTGTCCTTGTTTAGGAACTGGGAAACTCGGACACGAGCAATCTGTTTCCTTTCCTCTTTGGATAGATACCACATGATCAAACAACCGTTTCTGCACAGAAAAATATCCTGTTCAGCACCCTAGCTCGCAGGGATCCCCTCAAACTGCAGGGGAGGAGAGCATGTCTGTTACTCCAGCGGCCTCTGTCTGTTACTCCAGCGGCCTGTCTGTTACTCCAGCGGCCTCCTAAACCCTAAACCCTAAACCCTAAACCCTAAACCCTAAACCCTAAACCCTAAACCCTAAACCCTAAACCCTAAACCCTAAACCCTAAACCCTAAACCCTAAACCCTTGATCTGCACTCTGAAGCTGCTGCGAAGTGCCCTCCTTTGCTTAGCGATCTTTCCCCTAGGAACGAAGGTGTCAGCTGTGAGCTCGACTGCAAACGTCTCTCTGAGCTTGGCGTCGTCGCTGATGAGAGTGAGATGCACCCCCTCCATCGCCTCGCTCTCTCTGAACGAGGCCAAGGTCTGCTCGCAACTTGCCGTCGAAGGCGAGCTCAGCACCCACTCCAGCTCTTTTTGCTGGAGAGTTCCCGTGCTTGCCCCAACAGCCACATACGTCTTCGGGCTCGGCCCCTTGCGACCTCTCTGCCCAGGACCCTTCACGAGCATGCCAGCAAGCGGTTGTACCTCTGCGGCTGCAAGAGATTGCGAGAGCAGCTGAAATCGATAAATCTGAGCGATCTCGGCCGTCGACATTCCTCCAAGAGCTAGGAGCTGCGATAGCTCGGCAAGGCTCCCTCCCTTACCCCAAGGTCCTCGCTTGGCTCGAAGCTTGAAGGACCGGTCGTGTGCAATGCTGACCTCTGTGGCTCGAAACGCTCTCCCTTCGATGGTGTAATCTCTGCTGCCTTCCCATAGCTCCATGGCTGCTTCATTCCGAAGGAAGGAGACGGTGACTGAGATGTCGTCTGCTCGTGCTATCTCAGGTCTGTAAGGTGCTTTCCACATGATGGCCTTGTCGACTCCATCGACTGAGTCTACCATGAGACCCAGCTCCATAAGCTTCGTTTTCAACTTTTCTTCTTGTCGAACAAACATCGAGGAAATCCCTAGGAGAGTCATGGAGATGAAGGAGGTCCCCTCGGTGCCTTCGGTGCCGATGTATGTCTCGACATTCTGCTTCTTGGCCTCCTCCATCTGTTGAATAAACCATGCTCTCGACTCTGAGCTCCATTCACTCAGAGAGTCTTCAAACAGGTCGCGTCTCGCCTGCCGACATGTCGAGCGGATGGCTTCAGCGATAGCGTCGGGAGCCTGTGCATCCCCCCTCAGCTCTGCAAGCATAAGCTGTCCGACTATTCGGATAACTAGTAACGCTTGGTGAAGCTCTTCACCCTCTCGACGAGGTCAGCCTCCTCGACGTGGCCTCCAGAGCGCTCACCCTGCGTGTATTGGCATGATCTCCGATACAGCAGGTTGCGAACGCTCTCATCATACTGTAGTACCATACTTAGAAAACTATTTGAATTATACAAACCTCTTGCTCGCAGCTTCCACCGGTCCCCTTGCGCTCTCCCTACGCGCCGCAGGGCAGCATGCTCTTACTAAGGGCCGGCTGTCTTACTAAGGGCCGGCTGTCTTACTAAGGGCCGGCTCCTAAACCCTAAACCCTAAACCCTAAACCCTAAACCCTAGTAGTAGTAGTAGTAGTAGTTGAGTTTATTAGAATGCTAGGTAGGTTGCATGGCTTGTTATCACCTTGCTCTATTCTAGTCTAACTAGTAACAGGGATCTCGTGACCTGGCAGTTCGGCCCGACTTGGCTGGCCCCTATGGCAGCCTTGCTTCTGCTCTGCTTCCTCCTCTGATATACTTCAGTGGTCTTCCCGGCCTCAGCCAGTGGAGTGTCCTCCGCCGGCCTTGGCCTGGGTTGTCCGTGTTTTACCGAGTACTTGTGTTGCTTCCTCGGCTCCGACACACCTTGGCGGTCTCGGCCGGCCTTCGGTCACGGTGAGTGGACTAGGCCCTAAACCAATCTCCTTCCTCGTGAAGCGACCAGATGCCGCCGTCAACTTGATGGTATCGCTTCGCTCTCTCGGAAAGCTCGAAATGCTGTATCATTCGCCTCTGGGCAGCTCGAGGATCGGACACGATCCACTCCACCTCCCTCTGTCTCCAGATGACGTTGGCCCCTACAGCGACGAAGCCTTTCTGACCTAACCCTTTGTGGACTTGCTGGCCTGGCCCAGCGACCAGCATGCCTGCCAGCGGCCCGGGCTGGAGTTGGACCGCTGCAAGGGACTGGCGAAGCAGCTGATACCGGTAGACGGCAGCTATCTCTGCTGTTGTCATGCCGCCCAAGGTTAGCAGGTGAGTCAGCTCTGCCAAGCTGCCCTCTTTGCCCCAGGGTCCTCTCTTGGCTCGAATCTTGAAAGATCGATCGTGCACGATGCTCACATGTACAGCTGTGAACTTGCGACCATCGATCGCGAAGTCCTCTCTTCCCTGCCAGAGCTTCTCCGCTTGTGCATTGCGGAGGAAGGAAACAGTCACCGGGATCTCATCAGCACTCGCTATCTCGGGTCTATACGGAGCCTTCCACATGATTGCTTTACTCTCTTGCACTGAGTCTACGATCATTCCGATCTCTTCGAATTTCTTCTTCAGCTTCTCTTCATGGTTGACATACACCGAGGAGATGCCCAGGAGAGTCATGGAGATGAAGGAAGTCACCTCGTTGCCTGCTGAGGCTATATATGTCTCGACCTTCTCCTTCTTGGCTTCCTCCATCTGCTGCATAAACCACTCTCTGGATGTGTCACTCCATCCAGTCATTGCCTCTTGTAGAAGCTCACGTCGTGCCTGCTGACATGTCGAGCGGATGGCTTCTGCGATAGCGTCGGGGGTGCATCCCTCCACAGCCTTGCAAGCCTGGGCTGTCCTGCTGTTAGGATAACGCTTCGCGAAGCTCTTCACCCTCTCGACAAGATCAGCTTCGAGGACCGAGGCATCCACACGCTCGCCCTGCGTGTATTGGCATGATCTCCCGGATACAGCAGGTTGCGAACATTTTCATCATACTGAAGAACCATTCTTACAAAGCTGTTTGAACTATACGAACCTCTTGCTCGCAGCTTCCTTCGCACCTGGCCTCTGCTAGTCACAGTGAACAAAAAAAAGATGGTCAAATGTTGCAGAACAAAGGAAGCTGAGAAACATTTTATGAGGCAATGCTGAATTGGGAGATCTTGCAGATAACCGATTCAGAGATCCAAGTACGGGTTGAGCCGATGTCAGCAGAGAGAGAGGGAGCTGAATGACTGTGAGTTGTCGTCCGCTTTTGCTGAATGATAGGGATTCTATCAAAGAAGCTTGAATCCACTCAGTTACTTAGAAAGACGATCCAACGAGACATTTACAACATTTGACGCGTTCCCGAAATCTTTCCGATGTTTTATTCATCAATGGCATGTCACCATTTCCCTCTGCTAAATTGAGACGTGCTAAGATGTCTCCTCTCCTCTGTTGTCTCCTGACTTTATTAGAAAGCTGGAATGTCATTCGGCCCCGCATGGGCCGCTCTCACAAACAAAGAAATGATAGAGGGAGAATGACAATGGTTGTTATATCCCTACAAGGTTAACTCTTGAGATTTACTCTGAACCGAAACGAAATTCAAACACGCTCTTCTAGTCCCACTCATCCTCCCTCTGAAAGTCGACTCCGTTGTGCATGTCCCAGCCCTGCATGTCCGTCACTTGCCTCTCCTCTCATTTCATGGCAGCAAGACCTTCATCATGGCGTCTGAGATCGGCTCGCCGAAGCGACTGAAGCTGTTCATCGGGTTCCGCTGCCTCGCCACCAACTGCCAACCAGGCTTACATCTGAGAAACACGCACATCTCCTTCTGCCCTTCACCTTCTCGGGCATCTCATCGTCTTGAAGCTCTCCGAGGAAGCCGAATGGATCAGCTTTGCCATTCAGGGATCCCTTGGCAATCTAACCGCACGTGTCAGACTCGCATCCCATCCCCTCTGGTCAACGAGCCTGCTTAGTGAGAGGGTCGTCGGCCTTGGAGCACTTGCCCGGCCTACAATTTGGCGCAGAGCAAGCCACGTGTCTTCGCTCAAGGACCTGCCATGATGAGGTCACGTTACAGGTGTGGCTCTCCTTGGTCTCTTACCTCTTTGAAGGGACAACCGCTGCATTTCCTCCTGCATCGCTCCACGACAGGCGTGACCCTTGGGAATCCTTTCTTCTTGTCGTAGCGAGCCTGGAGCACGTCTTTGGAGGTCGTCTTCATAAGTTGCTTCTTCATCTGCCTTGTGGAAGGGAAGTAGTCCGCCGGATACCCGAAAGAGTCTCGCATGTAGTTCGCCGCGTCTCCCCACATCATCTTGAGTAGCTTGGGGTTCAGAGGAGACGTGTGTTCCGAGCCATACTCCGAGTTGGCAAACTGAAGTAGCCGCTCATCCTTTAGCCTGCAGGGGGAAGTCGCCTATGTGAGTGTCGTACACAGTCGTGGGCTCACTGAGAGCTTCTGATACCTCTCCTTGTCTTGCTTGGACAGCCGGGCGTCTTTTCTGTAGAGCGGGCTTGATCTGTCTGCGTCTGAGCCTCCAAAGAAAGTCTCTGCTTCTGACGACGGAGATCCGGCATTCGAGCGCCTGCATATTGGTTTCAGTCTCGGGCCTGTGCCGGTAGCAAACACACCTTTGAGAAATGTAACTGTCGCCACTGCCGTCTTTGTGCTGCTGATCAAAGCTGGAGATCCAGTTGTCTCCGAGGTCAGCTCCATCTTTATGAGGATAACGCTGAGGTACAGTGTTGTGAATGTTGGGCTCTAACCCCGACATCCTGTCGCGCTCTTCTCGTGAGTAGCTGTAGTCACTTGAAGATCGCAGGTTCCTCTCGTACTCAGCAATCTCTCTTTCTCTTTGTTTCCTCCAGCGGTCACATTCCGCTGGATCAGGTTTGGTGGTACAAGCAGAGGGCGGATTGTCGTAGCTCGGACGTTGCCGTTCGACATTGTTTGGATCCTGCCTGTCATAGCTTCTTTCATTGCTTCTTTGATTGCTCCTGTCATAGCTTCCTTCATAGCTTCTGCCGTAGCTCCTGTCATAGCTTCCTTCATAGCTTCTGCCGTAGCTCCTGTCATTGCTGTACCCTGTGTTTGATCTGCTTCTGTCTGATTGCGACCTGTCTGATCCCTTGTCGCTACCGTCCCGATACAAAATGGTGCTCCTGCGTTTCTGACATCCTCTCCATATTAGCCCCTTCCCTCACCCTCTAGCCTCCTTACCTCCATCTCTCTCCGCAGCAGCTTCATGGTCTGCGTCTCCATCTTTGCCATGTATGATATCATCTCCATCTCTCGATCTGCTCGCCCCACGTCTCTTACATCGTCCGCGTGCTGCATGACATTCTGGGCTCTCTGCGTCTCTGCCCTCAGCTCTGGAGGTCACCGTAAGTTTATCGCAGCATCGCATCTCCCTTCTCTCCACTACCGTCCATGTCCTCCTGTCGCTGGGATTCCTCGTCTTTCACCTTCCCCTTGAGCTTCTGCGCCCTCCCTCAGCCTCTAGCACGACAAGCCTCCTTCCTGCCCCTCTCCTCACCGACGCAACAAGCTCTGCATCCTTCATCTTCCCGATGTTTAACCTTTCCTGCGACTGCTCGCGATCGATTCTCCCTCGGATCTTTCGCAGCTTATAGTCCTCGTCCTGAGCAGCACTCTGCGCAAAGGCCGGCTGCTGACCCACGTCAAGATACTCCTATGTTGCTGCCTCCCGTCTGCCTCACCGTCTGCCTCGACGATCTACGATCCTCCATCGTTAGCAGCTTGTCCGCAGACATGACGTCTGTCTCAAGCACGTCCATCTCCGACTGCATATCCTCCATTAACTTCAGCCCCCCACGTGCACCTTGCAAGACTCACCTGAGCATCGAGGCGTGCGAGGGATACCTGACCGCTCATCTGCTGCTTCCGACCAGCCGTCAGTTGATACAGCGCGATCCGAAAGAGTCTCACCGCATCTTGCCACCTGAGGATGCAGAGCACCGCGAATGTGCATGCGAGCAAGCTCACTGCCGCTGCTACATTGTGGCGGGAGTTGCGGGGAATCAAGATCATCTCTTGCAGCCGTAGGAGATTCAAGAGCTTGATCGCATGGGATGGTCGTGCCTGCGAAGATGAGCTTCAAAATATTAACAGAGCCGTTGCCGGTTTAAACAAGTTGCATGGAATCAAATTTTGAGTTTTTCCTATGGACAGCATTATTTGCGCATCATTCTGCGAGTGCAATGTCGACATTCCCGTGACCATGACGTCTCACGTGAACTGAGACACTTCACACCTCCTTGACATGCTTGCCACCTCTCCAGCTACCTCCGCTTCCTCCTTCGATCCTCTTGATAGAGCTAGGGATCGTCTGAAAGGTCACTGAATACTGTGACCACCCTACCCCCTCTTTAAAACATTCTACCAGCAAAACTAACCCCTCATCTGTCATATACTGCGTACCTTACGGTCTGGAACCAAAAAAAAAACCATATCAAGCGACCATATCAATCTTTACTCAAATTTAAGTTAAAGTTCAGTACGAGGACAATCAGGAGAGTCGGGGACAAGGGCCCGGGGCCTGACAGGGCCGGCTGTGTTCCCGGTCGTTATGATGCTCTTACTGTACAGATCGGATCACCGTGAATGTACACAGAAGGCCGTTGAAACTGTTCACAGGCTGATCCGATCCGCCGTCCGATAACCCGGTGACTGGCCAGCTGCAGCACGGTCAATGCAGCTGGTCACTCCTGGTTTAGGGGAGCCTGAGCTAGAGTCGGCGGCGAAATCCAGGCTTTGTCTAAGTCACGGTTGCCGTCTGGCAGCGGAGTGCCACGGTGAGGAATCGATCGTTTCAGTTTCACAAGTCCAGGCTTTGTAAGGGTTTCTCACAACGTTGTTGTTGTCTGACTGCTACGTGAGAAAGGGTTTCTCGCAACCTTGTTGTAGTCCGACGGACGGTCTGACGACTACGTGAGAAACACTTCACAAAGCCTGGAGTTCTCAGGGGCCTTCGAAAGTTTCCTCGCACTCACCATAAACCTTCTGCCCACAAGTGAACATTTTGGGCCCAAGCTTGTTCGCTGAAACAATTGTGCTCAACTCCCCGCAAGCCTTGTACCAAGCAAAGCAGCCGCAGGGTAGCTTTCAGCGTCCCCGCCTTGGAACAAGGCTTGCGGGGAGTTGAGCTCCTTGGAAGGGCTGGCGCAGTGGCGAAGCTGGAGGAGAGCGGCGGGCATGAGGACTCCAAGGTCGCCCTGCTGGAGCAGCAGGCAGCGGCCAAGCTCAAGAGAGCCGCCGCCTACGTCCAGGAGCGGATCATGTCGTTGTCATCGGTGCCAGCGCCGTGAGGTATGGTTTGAACGACATTCTTGAAGAATGCTTCAAGAATGTCGTTTGGACTTATCGTAATGCTGCTCTTGTTTGCAATTGATGTGGACAACAAGCACAACATTTTCAAGGAGAAGAATAAACTTAACACAACAAAGTTAAACAACAACAGGGTAAGCTTCAACTCATCACGAGATCGTCTGACTTGGTCGCTTACAGCTGAAGGAGACGTATTTTGGTCACATTGTATAGATATAACCAGTGTGGGCTCTACCTGTCATGCCCATTCTGCGAGCTCGGCAAGAAGCCTGCTTTGCCTTCGCCTCCCATTCATGCTCGTCGGCTTTCGAACCTCGCTCACACTCCTCTTCAGCATTTCCGACGGAGGTTCCAAGCAGCAAGCCTTCAACTGCTACCCCAAGCATTCCTGTCAGATCTAAACTGGACATCTTGCCATGCTGTGTTGCGATGTCGACACTATACTGTGATCCTCTCGCAGAATTCCCAGTCCAGCTTAAGGTACGACCAAGCAGGGAGGACAAGGTAGCCTCAGAATCGGAGTGCTCCTCAGGGCTGATGGCGAGAAAGTCAAATTTTGGAGCTGTCTCTGACTCTGCTTCTTCCATGAGCTGAAAGATTGTTCCAAGATGCTTGGAGGACGATCTCTTGGATGACTCCATGGATGGGTATACGGGGTTGGGAAATTCTTGCTGCTCAGACTTGAGCCATTCGTTCACTTTGGAGACGGATTGTCTCTCTTCCTCAGAGATGTGGAGCATGGATTTCTAGGAATCTGTAGGGGAGACGAGGCGATGATTGAAGCGATGCGATGAAGACGATGCTATGCGTTGACGATGCTATGCGTTGACGATGCTATGCGTAGACGATGCTATGCGTTGACGATAACGCGGAGACAAGCGGGAGGCTGGTGGAGCAATACTATCATGACCCCCTTGCGATGAGCGACGAGGGTCAAAAGGGGGGTGGGGGTCATTTGATGGAGCAAACAAGGGGTCATCTTTACTACCACGAGTAGGAAAAATTGGTCATCGACACTCCAAGACTCCACATGTCGCCGGGCAGCGCCGGGTATCCAGGGTAGATGATCCAACTCGGAATCAGGGTCACTTGATCGACTACCATCGGCCCACCCACGCAGGTTGACCGAGAGAGACCTGAAACAGCGAGACGAGGACGTCATCATTACGTTGCACAAGCAAACTGAGGCAGTTAAGCTGACCTGCTGCAGGTCCCACCCTGCTTCTGTCATGCTCTTTTCGACCTGCGCGAGACCATGGAGTCAGCGTGAGCGGCCCGAAAACGAAAAGACATGATAGAGACAAAGAAACAACTCGAGTCATGTCTACCTGATGGTACGAGCTCCTCATCTTCTCCAGCGCCGAACGGATCAATGATTCTCTGCGAGCAAGAGGCTTCAGTCTGAATACCCAGCTCTGAAAGTCAAGGCCTCACTGATCCATCGGCTTCGTAGACGAGTTGAGCTCTCCTACATCTACTAGTCAACTCAAGCAGGGGAAGTCAAGGTTGATCACTTGCGATCAGATGAGCAGTCACATACGCTCGGAGGTAGTCTCTAGGCGTGCTTTCTTCAGCTACGCAAATCACCAGCTTCGGTTTTTTGGCTTGACTGGACCAAGGAATCAATGAGTACCAAGGCCAATGAAACACATCAATACCGAGAATGATCGTGAGCTTGGGCGATCATAAATTTCTCTCCCTCGAAGAGAGCGATGAGTTTCTTGAGAGGAATTCCTGCGACATGCCGTTCTCACTTCAACCACCTGGACTCAAGTCCTTCTTACCAGAGCGAAGGATGGTGGACAGTGACACTCCGAAAAGAAGATCGAAACAGCAAGAATGATCCTCTGCCCACGGAAGCCAAAGAAGTTTGTCTGTCTTCGCAAGACTTGCTGGAGTCATTGAAGATATTGCTTTGCTCTGCCGGCCCCTCAGCACGCGAATCTCATACATAGTAAAGAACAGGACCAACCTTTTCACTGCCCTCAAACAACAATGAAGGCAAGATGCGATCAAGTTGAGATCTCGTCAGGATTCTCAGCGCCAACGTCCTCATCATGGAGTAGCATGCCCAGACATGGATGGAAGTCAATACAACGAAGGATGTCCTGCATGCTCTCTTTACTACGACGCAGAGGCATTGCCAGCCCCACTCACCATAGGCTTTGGAGCGATGAGTTCGCCGCTTGTGCAAACAAAAACCCCATGGGAAGTGCCTGCGGCATCATCAAACATTCATATTTCAAGATGCCGTCTGGGTGGCATACCAGCACAGAGACGAATGTATGCTGAGCGCCGGTCTTTGCCCCAACATCAGCGATGTTTCCCCTGAACATAAATCAGCACAAGAAGGAGAAATGACGAGGAGCCAAGAGAAAAAGTACCTGGCAGCCCAATGCTGGACGATTGCAGTATTGCATGCCCCAGCGGCAACTCCGCACATGGCTTTGAATACAGAGGAGAGGCAGATGATGGGAAGGAACAGATCTGGATACGCAGGAGCAAGCATGTCGAGGAGCAGAGCCACGTCATTGATCAGGTCCGCAAAAAGCCTCCACCGTTTGATGTCAATTCCGAAGCTTGAGCTCGCAAACGCAGTAAACAGCAAACCCCCCAGCATAGAGCTTCCATCCCTCGCCATCCACTGCATAGTAGCGGCAAGAGAGGTGACTCCTGCCTTACCAACACCCATTCCTTCGAGGATCTGCGCGCAAGACAAGTGTTAGGGACGTCAGAGACATCACTTGAACGTTACCTTCTGGGTGGACAGAATTCCTCGAAGGTTGGAGGAGAGGTCTTGGAGCAGGTTGAAAGCCTGATACTTGGTGTACTCGTCTGGAAGACTTGCAGGATAGCCTGAGGGTAAGAACGTCGCGTACATGATCCTCTTGAGCTTTAGCATCCCCGACGACGCTCCTCCTTCTCCTACTCCTCCGTCGCTTCGCTGTCCATCCTTGAAGTAGTAGCTGAGCTCTTCTCCTTTAGATCCAAACCTCATTTCTGACGCCAGCACTGCATCTGTCGCCAAACTTACATCAGGCAACATTGAACTATCCAAATGTCGCTTGACACCCCCAGCAGCAGGAGGTTCGGTCTTGGACTTTTTCCCAGAACTTCTGTCGAAACGATATAAGGCGGTCAACCGGAACGAGGCCGCAAGCTCGAACTGCAAGCACAACACAAAAAGCCCAAAAACAGCGAGACAAGCACCACATCGGCTCCCTTTCAAGACACACCTACGAGAGTCAGACCCCATCCTTGCAATTCACCCAAAGCACTATCGTTTTCCGACAAGATGCGCTGAAACGAGCGGTTCAAACTGATTTTGAGTTTCACAGAAGACAATTACCGAGTGGTCTGTTCGCTCCCCACCAAGTTCCCTCCTCTTGCAGCTTCTTTCCCGTTCACTCCCAAGCCCCCAGGTCACCTGCAATGTGTTATCTTTGAAAAAACAAAGGCAGAATTGAATCAAAGACAGAATAAAAGATCTCAGATACCAGATCGTACCCCTCCCTTCCTCCCCCCGTTCTACCCATCCTCCAGGTCTATCCTCCTGGTCTATCCTCCTCTCAACCCTCTCTCTATCCTCCTGGTCTATCCTCCTGTCTATCCTCCTGGTCTATCCTCCTGTCTACCCTCCTGGTCTATCCTCCTCTCAACCCTCTCTCTATCCTCCTGGTCTATCCTCCTGTCTATCCTCCTGGTCTATCCTCCTGTCTATCCTCCTGTCTATCCTCCTCTCTATCCTCCTGGTCTATCCTCCTGTCTATCCTCCTGGTCTATCCTCCTGTCTACCCTCCTGGTCTATCCTCCTCTCAACCCTCTCTCTATCCTCCTGGTCTATCCGCTTCCAAACTATAAAACTGCTATAAAACGCTAACATTTCACATATTCTTTAAAGCGTTTCTTTATTTAGATCATTCTTCTTCTATTCCCATCCCACAGATTTGAGGAGTTTATTGAAATTCTACTGTCACTTAACTCTGCTGGAAAAGGAGGAATTTCTGTCGCTTCCATGGAGGGTTTCCGAAGTTCGGAAGTTCGGGTCGGAAGTTTCTCGAGCCTCTCGGGGCCCGGGGCCCGGGACTGGGGGCTTGAGTCCCAGGCTACTGAGTGGGTTCTGTGTGGGGAGATAGTGCTGTACTGAGGCCCTGAGAGGCTTCTTCGTTATGGCCTCTCAGCGATGGATCGCTCGGCGCTTCTGCGCGCTATGGCCTTGGAAGCCGCATAAGACCTGAGAAGACAATGAGATCAAGCCGCAGGAGGAGCGATGAGCAGCTAAAGCACAGGAGGAGCGATGAGCTATGCAAGATGAGACAACAGACTTTAGATGAGACATCAGTTTACACTTAGACATTCAATACAAGACAACAGGTATAAGAAAAGACATCAGATACAAGACAAGATGTCAGATACAAGATAAGGTATGAAATATAGGATCAGATTTAGGATAAAGCGACAGATGTATGCGATTCGTACCCTCGGATTATGGTAGCCTCGTCGGACACAGCAGGTTCTGCAGCTGGAGCATTGAATGTCATCGATTAGGAAATGAAAGAGAGGAAACAGTGGACAAGCAACCTGAAGTCTCATGCTGTGCTGCTGCTGGGCTCTCGTCCTCCTCGTACGAGACTTTCGAGTGCTGCGAGACCGTCACTAGAGCCAGTAGAGGCTGCTGCTACCTCCGCTCCCCACGAGCCTCGTTTGAGCGTCACCACGAAATCCTGCCGGTCACCCGCCAATATCAGCCATCAAGCCACCGTGGGCATGTAAACTATCTCCTCCTCCTCCTCCTCCTCCCTCCTTTTTCTTCTCCGTTCTCTTTTCTCCTCTTTCCTCCTCTTCCTCCCTCCTCTTTCCTTCTCCGTCCTTCTACTCTTTCCTCCTCCTCCCTCCTTCTCCCCCTCCTCCCTCCTTCTCCTGATCCTCTGCTCATCGCCCTTGCCATGGTTCTGGTTCGTATCATGCTCTTTCGCTCCTTTGCCCTGTGCCTAAAACTGATCTGTCTCTTCTCGGCCAGTCCCTCCCCCACCTCTCCTCCGAGAACCTGCTTGCCGCGCTGAGCGGTGATAATCACGCGCGAGCCTCGAGGTCCCTGCAGCATCTCCTGCAGACGCGTAGCGCTGATATTACTCACCTCCCTCCCCTCCGCCCCCATTCGCTTCGCCTCCCTCCTCCCTCACCTGAGCAGCTTCAAGCTGCATGCCTGCGATGCTCTGCCCGTCCACGGCAAGGATTACATCTCCCTGAGGCAGATTAGCGATGTCCTCCTCCTTCCTCTGTGCCCCCCTCCTCGTCCTCCTCGTCCTCCTCGCCCTTGTTCAAGATCAACCACCTCCTCATGAAACCCTCCTCATCCCCACGCACCTCCTTCTCCCCTTACATCTCCATCTCCTAACGTCTCCTCTTCTCTGAATGCAAACCTCCCGCTCCTCCCTCCCTCGTCTTGCTCACCAACGCAAACGCTCCACACGTATGTGCCGAGAGCTTTTGCTGTATGAGGTATAAGGAGGTGCGTGGACAAGTACAAGGACCTTGATCTCAGAGATCCGTTTGTTCCCTCTCATGTCAGCCTCGAGGGTGAGGCCTACGCCGCAAGGAGAAGGAAGGGAGTAGAAGCGAAGAAGCTCTTCCTTCAGGGCCAGAATCTGATGCATTTGAGCGAAAGCCAAGCAATATGAGCAAACAGAGGTAATGGAGGAAGAGGAGGAGGAAGAGGGAGGGGACAAGAAGCGGCAGGACGGCAAGACTTTCAGGGCAGGTAGCCTTGGGGAGGCAGAGAGTAGAGAATGGGAGAATCAGAAGACGAGGAGGAGCGGAATGCAAGGGAGAAGGAAAGTACATGTTCTTTGGAAGACTGCAGATCAAGCTGTCTGGCTGATAGCTCTTCTTCAAGAGATTTGACCCTCTCCCCGTCCACTTCCACCTGCAGCACCTGTAAAACCCTCCTCTGCTCCACGCCCTCTGTCTCTCCTCGTTCCCCTCCCCTCTTCCTCCTCTCATGAGCAACGTCTCCCCCCCCTTGACTGCCTTCTCCTCCCCTGGTCGTATCATCAACACCAGCAGCAACAACCTGCTGCGTCAAGACTTCAATCTGTTTCTTCGATTCTTGCAGTTCTTGGAGGAACTGTAAACCAAGTCAACGGAGGGCGAGCGCATTGACAGACAATACTTGAGGTGCCTCGTGCGTAATCAGCCTGACGATTTCGGAGTCTTGCTCCACCTGCACAAAAATGAATCATGATCCTGCTCTCCCTTTCATCCGTCTACCCTTCCTTGACTCGCTCCTCGCTCCTCACTCTCTGTGTTCTTCCCTCCATCCTGTCAACTCTACTTCGCTCCCCTGTTTCTTCTCCATTCTGCTCTTGTCATTGAGTCCGCGCTACTCGCTCACAAGCTGCTCACGCGCTCTTGTTTCCTTCGTTCAGGCTTGTCTTTCCTTCATCCTCCTTTGACTTGTCGTGATACTCACTTGCTGTCTCCACAAGTTGAAAAATCTGCCGCTCTCGCTCATGCTGTGTTTGAACAACTTATTGTCACTGTAAGTGAAAACCTTGCGCAACTCCCAAGTTCTTCTTGACATCCTGCAAACATGTCAACGAGATGAAATGAGAACAAGACAAATACTGCTTCCAAACGATGAAAAGTTTTGACGTGCAACGGAACATGACGCCATCTCTCATGTTCAACAGCTTCCCGTCATACTTGTTGAGAAACTCGAGGATCAGACTGTTTGCACGCGAATAGTTCGAGGTCAGCATAATCTCTTGCTGCAGCCTTTTTCCAGCTCCACCGGCAACGAATCGCTTCCTCCTCTGTGAGTTGAATTCAATACTCGCTGAATTGCCGTCGGCAAGAAAAGCGTCAAGAGTCGTCTTGTTGAGGCGATGAAAGAGCAGCGCGAGCTTGCGACAGATGGTTTTGTTTCTTCTTTGCGTCAAGAACGTCCAAGTCGTGAACGCCATCTTGAGGAAAAACAAGCAAACATCGCGATAAGCACTTTCATCGTCCATGCTAGATCGGAACAAGACGACAGGGCGAGGGCTCAGGTCCAAGCATCGAATCATCCTCAACATGTCTCGCAGCTGCATTGCGTTGTTGGACCAGGTAAGGTGCAGCCGCTCAAGCTTGTGCTTGCACTTCTGTCATCATCATCAGCCCAAGGTCGAACAAGCGACTAGCAGAGGAGAAACAGCAGGACAAGGTGAGGGAGCAAGAGCGAAAAGAAGAGGACAATCATCAAGACCAGGGTGAGGGCGATGGAGGAGTAGATGAGGAGGAGGAGGAGGAGGAGGAGGAGGAGGAGGAGGAGGAGGATAAATGAGACTTTTGAACAAGATAATTCACAGGGATGTCACCTTGACCGCCTCCTTCAACCTGTTAGCCTCATCTCTCGCCCTTTCTTTCTCTTCCTCCACGTGATCGAGCTTGAGCTGTAAAAGGAGGAGGTGAAGAGAGCCGCTAGTTGAGGGAGAGAGTGACCTGCAAGTGGGAGGAGCGAGACTCGAGCTGTGAGTTCGTTTCTCCCAGCTGATGCATCGCGACAGACTGTGATGATGTCAAGAAAAGATGATCAGCGCAGATGATTTGGAGAGAGAAGAGAATGGTAGGATAATGACTTCGGCGTGATGAAGAAAGCAAAGAGGAAGAAGTTTGCAGAGAAGGAGACGGAGAGGTGAAGGAGAAGAGAGAGGAGAGAGGAGAGAGGAGAGAGGAGAGAGGAGAGAGGAGAGAGGAGAGGAGAAAGGGTCGGTCTCTTACTTGTTTCGTGAACTCCGTCACTTTCTCAGCATGGGCTATCCTCAACCTGACACTTTTCAATGACGACATCTCTTGAATCTCTCTCTCACTTCTCCAACTCAGTTCGCAAGACTGCAATCTCTTGTGTTTGAAACTGACACAAGTGGTAAGCTCTCAAGCTCACTGCTTGTTCTTTCATGTTTGTTCTTTACCTTGTCGATCTCTCGCATACTGTCCAGCTGCTTCTCAATATCTTGCGCTGACCTCTTCGTCTCCTCGCTCATCTTCCTCTTCGTCGACTGCTCCACGTCAGCGGCTCCTCGCCAGGCACCTCACACACCAGCAGAATCTCCAGCTGCTTGATCCGCTCGCTGCTCTCGAGCTCTCGCAGCTGTAACTCGCTGCTTTCCGTGCGAAGCTTCGAGAGCTCCAAATCTGACCGAGGAGGAGGAGGAGGAGGAGGAGGAGGAGGAGGAGGAGGAGGAGGAAGTCACACACTTGCAAGCAGAAAATGATGCGAGGAAGGAGAGGAAGAAGAGAGAGAAGAGGTAGCAAGAGAGAGGATAAAAACTATTCGTTCACCTAATTTCTCCTTAGCAGGAACCAGTACAGCTAGAGTAGACTTCAACTCATCAATACTAATGTCAGCAAGTCAGATGAAGAAAGTAAACAGAATGAGAGCAGAAGAA